AATTCCTCTGGGAACTTGTGTCTCAAATCGTGTAACTTCTCCCTCCTTAGTGAGAAGACCTCAGTCAAGTGTGTCGAGATCTTACTTCAGACTTCTCTGCTATTTATTCTTCTTTTCCTCTCTTGGACCTTTTCTTTCTTCGGTAGATCAGATAACTTACAACCCCTACAACAATTAAGCAAACAAAGATTATTGCAATGCCGATAATGCACGGCGCGCAGTCCTCTAAATTGTTCTTCCACCTCTTGGAGTTGCTTAGTTGAGTCCACTAGCTTTCAGTTCTTCTTCCGTATTTATTAGGTTGATATGGTTCAATTGAAAATTTCGATCAGGAATTTAGTAACATGTACCTCCATGCGCTGATCTTGTAACATTACGAATTCATCAATATTTCAAAGCAAATTTGACGAAGAGTTAATATGTCGTCAACGCGCATGACTTGTACAGCTTTGACATAAACGCAAACTTACGAAAAGTTTCGAAAAGCGTCAGTAAGTAAGCAAGAAGCACAAATAGTAAGTGACCGGCGAACAACACAGTCGTTTTTCTTTATAAATACAAAAAGATATTTGGATATTTCATTATTTTGTGTAAGTAAAAAATTATCTTTGTATATAAACCTTCGATATATACATATGCCGAGTGAGGAATTTAAATTGTAACGACCTTATAACTCATAAACCATCAATTTTATTGAAAAAAGTTTCAGATAAAATTTCATCTTGTGAAACGGGAAGAATATTCTGTATGTTTTTATTGCATTTTAGAAGCTTCTAGTCTTTCATTTGTTAAATAAATTTTTTTAAATTGATACATATATCTTTTTATTTAGCGTATGTGCATTATGTTGTGCATTTTGTGGATAAAAATGTCAAATAATTAATTTAAACAAACAGCAAATGTGCTACACTTAAAAATAACGTATGCCAACGTAATAAGTACTCAAAGTGATATCCGTTTGCTTCGATACACATTTGTAGTCTCTCTGCAGTGGGTACACCTATGTGTCTCCAGGTTGCACATTATTTTTTTATTATGCGTAATATGCATTAAATATTTTTTTTCCAATAAAAGTTATCTATTTTGTCATACTTATCAAAAATATATATGTATTCAGTTGAAAAACTTACTTAACAATTGAAAGACATTGATAGCGGTTCTAAAAGGCAATGAAAAATACAGAATGATTTCTTCCGTTATATGACGAAACTTTTATCCAAAACTTTTTTCGATAAAATTAATGGTTTACAAGTTATTAAATTGTCCCAATTTAAATGCTTCACCCGGTGTATATAATTGAATGAATCAATTAAGAAACTCATAAAGCGTTATCACAATTAAAGAATCTGAGTTGTCTATTAGCATTGCATAAAGAATGTATTACAAATTCCTTATCCAATACTAATATCTAATACAGTGATAATAAAATATATTTATTTTTTTATTGAAATTAGTTTACATCACGCAATATACGCAATATAAAGTGTATAAAATTATTAGCTAATTATTTCACCATTAACGTTTCAATAAAAATAATACTTTTTGTTTCAGATAAAATATGCTGTTTCTAACAATATTAATTTTACCATTGTTAATTCATTTGGGTACATCGTGCGGTTCAGATGAAGGCATAATGAAACAAAGAAATTTTTATAATGATCAATGTAAATGTAGAGAATATGTAGGTTCGTACGCGATATGTTACAACTTCCGCTGCCAAAATTTTCCGAAATACTTTCAAACATCGGTTAAATGCTTCAAAATAAGCGAATCCGGAATTAGGGATTTCTTACCAGGAGATTTTGAAAATTTATCACACAACTAAATTACACATTGAAAATAACATAGCGTTAAAAACGATTAAACCTGGAACTTTTAAAAAATTAAATAAATTAGCAACTTTATCGATTTCTTTTAACCCACAATTAATGAGTTTGAATGAAGATGTTTTTAGAGGACTATATGGTTTAGTATCGTTACAATTATCTAACAATGGATTTAATGAAATCAAAGATTTTTCAACGGCTTTAAAAGCTTCGTTTATGCCGATGTTAACGACGATTATTTTAACGGAACTACACTGCCCAAGAGTTGAAGAAGATGATTTCGCTTATTTACCCGGAAGCAAAGTGAGAAATATTTTTTTTGATGGTTCCCAAATTAATTATATTCACCCGGATGCGTTTATTATTATAAAAGATTTAAGAAATTTAAGTGTTAGCGATACTTTGGTGGATGAACCAAACGTGATTGAGGTTTTACAAAAAATTTATAAAAATAAGATTCCTTTGATGTCGTTAAAATTAAAATTGTGGGGTAATAAAACGCGAGTACCTCGTCAACTTTTTAATGTAATAGGAAATACGATGATAACCGAACTAATTTTAAACGGGAATCAATTTGATATAATCGAGAAGGATACGTTTCCTAAAATGCCTAACATTAACACCTTAATCTTAGAAGAATCTAAGATTACTGATATTAAAGAAAATGCTTTAATTAATTTTCCTAATTTAAAACAATTACATTTAAAAGAAAATAAAATGGATACAATACCGCTGGGGGTGTCAATAGGAACATTAGAGATATTGGATATTTCTAGAAACACAAAACCAGAATCGTCTTGTTTTAGTTTCAAATTTGATAACATGACTTCATTGAAAATTCTTGATTTAAGTTATAACAACATTATAAGAATTTATAATCGCAGTTTACACGGACTCCCCAACCTGAAAAAAATAAATCTTTTCCAAACAAACATCTTGTTAATATCAAATAATTCTTTTAAAGAATTAAGAAACTTGGAATATTTGGATTTAGGCGGCAACGATTTCCCACAAATATCTTGGGTTAAAAATACCTTTACCGGATTAATTAAATTAAAATATTTATCCCTGGAAAAGTGTAAAATTAAATTTTTTCCCAGCAACGACATCTTTGAAAATTTGGCATCTTTACAAACTTTAAATCTCCGAAATAATTTTCTTGTTGAAATACCCCAAGATTTCATGATTTCAATGAGCAAAATAAAAGTCTTAGATTTGGCTAATAATCAATTACAAACTTGGCAAGAACGGTTATTTATTAACACCGCGGTGAAAAATTTAATAATTTCCCGAAATCCATTCGCACATTTAACGAAAGCTATGTTACAAGATATTGCTGATTTGAAAGTAGTTGACGTTTCCAATAATCCATTTCATTGTGAATGTGATCAATTAATCCAAATAAAAAATTCCTTAACAGATGGAAGAATCAATCACATTTTAAGCATTTTAAATCAAACAAATTCCTTTTGTGTATCACCAGAAACTGACAAAACAATTGTCGAATATTACCTGAGTAATTTGGAACGGTGCAGCAGAGAAAGGATCATAAAAATTTTGAGACACACAGCGCCTTTATTAATATGTGGATTTGTTCTCCTCACAATTTCACTTGTTTCTTATAACTATCGATCACACATTCGTTATTGGATTTTTTTATTAAAACTATCTTTGTCACGAAAAAACCAATTAAACAAAAAACGCGATTTCATCCAACGTCGCATTAATTATATATACGACGCAATAGTTTCTTATAGCAATGAGGACAGAAATTTTGTTATTAGGTTAGTAAATATGTTGGAAAGTTATGACCCATTTCTCAAATTATGCGTATACGGTAGAGATTTTGAGAGTCAAACAAATGTGTTTGAATCAGTTTTGAAATGGGCTGCAACAAGCAGAAAAACCTTGTTCATAATCAGCAATTCTTATATTAACTCGGAATGGTCTGCTTGGGAAGCTGCAGTTGCTGAAAATCATAGGTTATTTCTTGAAAATGACTGTGGAGAATGTGTAAACGATTGATTGTTGGTTATGATTCAATTGGGAAATATTTCGGGTTGTAGCATAAGTCCGATGATGAAATATCTTATGAAGACTAGAATTCTTTTGCAATGGGATCCTGAGGAAAATAAACAAAAACAGTTTTGGGAGAAATTGAGAAATGCTTTAAGACCGGGATTAAATAACCCAAAAGAAATTAATTGATATGATAAATTGTAATAACTTTTGTTAAATAAAAGCAATAATTTATTGCATATTGCATGCTGTGTTTAATTATATTTCGTGTATTCTATTCTTAAATATACCGGGTGAGGCATTTGTTACGTTCCGAAATTTTTATGTTATGTGTGGGTGACTTGTTTATCTGTTATAGGTTGTGAGTTGCATACATTCGGAAATTTATTATTTTTATTTGTATTTACTTTGTTTACATTTTGTTTATTATTAACATTTGTTATTTTTTTTTATCTTTTTCAGCAACAGATTCTGAGTATCCCTGTTGTTAATCCCTTTCAATTCCTATCATACTACAAATTCTTCCTTTGCTTTTGAGAGGGTGTCGTAAGTACATGATCTTGCGCAGACGTAATTTTTTTTTTTGATATTTCCGAATTTTTGGGTATAAAAGACGGTTCCAGTTTCTTCTCGGTCTCTCTCTGTTCTTGCTATATTACCAGAATATACGTGTTTTCGAGTGTTTAAGAAAGTGATTGGTTCGCCATTTTTGGTTTTGGGGTGAAAAATTTTTCTAATCCATTTTTGTGGGATTCATCACTCGAAATAAAATTTTGGAAAAGTGTCTTTCTTTTACCAAATTGTACGGAGATTCCGGATTTCAACGTATTTCTTTAAAGTTTCTTCTGTCTTCTGGTTAAACCTCGAACATCAGAGGTAAGCATGTTCGTAAGGTCTTTATTAAATACTTTTGGCTTTTTCTTCCACCCATTTTTTTTTAACAAACAATCTACTCACTACTTTTCAAAAAAAAAAAAAAAAAAGAAACTAACTACTTTAAAAAAAAATCGTTCTAACTACTTAAACAGAAAAACTATGCTACTAACAGAAAAATTCTTAAATCTAATATTTCCACGTTTCATTTGTTTTATTTCTATATCCAGGTTTTATTGAGGGGAGCAACCTTTGGCATCTCTTTCGGAACATTTTTTTTTAATAATCTGGAACCAGTGTCCTTGGATAATTTTCTTTACGTCCTAAGGATTATAACTATCTTTTTTTTGGAGAGAAACAAAGAATAAACTTTACCTTTCCTGAATCACCAGAATTTGTTGCTGAAGATATTTTTTTTGTTTGGACCGGTGATCAAGACTTGGAGTAAAGGTCAGATAGAACAACATACTATTATTTTGGTTACTGAAGAATTTATCTATAACATATTTTTTTTTGTATTTGATTTTCCTTAAGAAAATCCTTGATTTTTTTCTGAAAGAAGATTTCATCTGAACTTCAATTTTTTTTATATATATCATTTGAATTGATTATTGTGAATTCTTGTTTGGCGAGTGATTTTTTTTTTATTCTATTTTTGGCGTTAATTTTTTTTTATTTTTAATTCTCGATTTCACGTTGAGCTCAACCATACGGAGTCAGACGCGTGTTAATTTTTAATTTCCATCTTTCTTGATATATTTTTTTTTTATTTTATTTGAGTAATTCCTTTTAGTTTTGAAAAACTCGCAAACATCAATATAATTTTCGTTTTCTTTGTTGATTTAACCTAGAAGTTCACTGATTTATAATTTTGTTATTGATTTTTTTTTCTTTATTTTACTTACCTATATATTTTTTTTTTTTTTCTTCGGAAATTTTTTTTTTTAATAAATATTGTGTGTAACTCAAAATCTATTTTGTTGAGCGTTTATGTTTTGTTGTGTTATATGTTTATATCACCATATTCCATCATACCACGTCACAGTTCGTGTTGTACGCGGGATTAACTGTGTGGCGCCATATAAATACCCCTCCCTTCTTCACTGAGCCGGTCGAGGACTCGCGTACATCAGGGTGGTAAAACTAGTTTTGTCCTTGTCGAAAAATTTGTTATCGTTCTTTATTTTGTTAAATTTAAAAAAAAAAATCGGTTTAGTAAAGTTTGGCGTCACACATTTAAATTGAGACGACCTTATAACTCATATACCATCATTTTTATCAAAAAAAGTTTCAAATAAAACTTTCATCATATGAAGGGGGAAAATATTCTGTATGGTATTCGTTATATTTTAGAAACGCCATCTATGTCTTTCAATTGTTAAGTAAGTTTTTTTTAATTGATACATATATTTTTTCATCGCTATGCTATTCTCCGTGACAAAATAAATAACTTTTATTTAAAAAAAATTTTTATTTAATGAACATTACGGACAATACAAATTCAAGGTGTAACTAGCCGAAATTACCGCGATGTTGGATGAATTTCGATCTAGGAATGCTAAGAAGGTTGAGACTAAGATTTGGTATGTTTTGAGGCGAATAAGGATTATGAGTGAGGACCGTGCCGTTGTTCTCCGTGAGGCTTTGTCTTTGAAGGATAGGTTAACGAAGGCCATTGCTTCCGTTTCTAGGCCGATTGAGTTAGCTCGTGGGGAGAATTAGAGGTGTTATTGAGGGGGGAATTTTTACCTTCTGACTACAACGAACAATTATTAGATGAGATACGTTACAGAACCCAGGGTGAGCGAAAGCCTATTGCAATCTACGTCGCCAATATGTTAGGTTTATTCGGTAGACTCACTTGTCCACTTTCCGAGGAGGCGATGGTTAAGCTTATCCGTAAGAACTCTTACCTTATTTTCAAACCCAACTAGCTCTTCACACTATTGATAGGGTTTCTGATGAATTAATTGATATAGCGATTGATTTAGATGTCATGATTAAAAATTGTTCTTGTTACAATGAGATTAAGAGTGATTTGATACATTTCCTAAATAATAATAACAAAACTAAAATAATTAACAAAGGACAAAAATAATTTAAATAACTGGAAATGTATCAAATCAATAAAACAAAAACTGAAACTTAATAATGCTGTTTTTGTCAGGGCTGATAAGGGAGCGGGCATTGTCATATTAGATAGACATATATATGTACAGAAAACTCTTGATTTTTTACTGGAGAATAATTATAAAAAGATAAATTTTAATCCATTAGATAAAATGATTAAGAACACTCAAGATGTAATTAATAAGTGTAAAGAGACTCTGACTAGGTATACGCCATATTTCAATAACGCTGATAGAAAATTTCAAACTACTTACTTTATGGATGTCAAGCCTAATTTACCGTCAATTTCCTCCTTACCAAAATTGCATAAGGAAGGTATGCCCATCAGGCCTATTACAAACTTTGGAAATTCACCTTCACGAAAACTTATCAATTTTATGTCTAATATTTTTAAAGAAATTCATTTCACATCTGCTTTTTCTGTTAAAAATTCAAATCAGTTATAAATCTAACCAAAAATATTAATATTAATAATTGTTTGCTAGTATCTTTTGATGTAACTAATCTTTACCCAAGTGTTCCACTTGATTACACCCTTACAATAGTTTCTAATTTATTTAATTCAAATTTTGATAACAAAAATAATATTACAGATTTTAATACTATCATAAAACATATTGTTTCACAAAATTACTGCTGCTTTAATAATGAATATTATTCTCTCTCAGATGGTCTCCCAATGGGGATGCCATTGGCCCGACAATCTTAGCGGAAATTTTTCTAGATAATATTGAAAATAACCATATCATTAACCAAATTAATCCTTTTTATAGACATATTATTTCTTGGAATAGGTATGTTGATGACGTTTTTTGTGTGTGGAATGGTGATATTAATGAACTTAATGATTTTCGCTCTTACATCAATAATTTACATAACAACCTTAAATTTACTACAGAGATAGATAAAAATAATATCAACTTTTTAGATCTAACTTTAATTAAAAATGATAATGGCTACATTGAGTATAATATCTACAGAAAGCCTTCCTCCATTTCTACCACCATTCCATACACTTCATTACGTATCTACAAAAAGATCCTTTATTCACAAAACATAACACTGATTCTTTGATTTAGAACCTCTACAATTTAATGCTTTAACAGCCAAATTTCACAAAATATTTTCTAATTACAATATTAAAATAGCTTTTTCAAATCGTAACACCATTTTAAATGTATTAACTAATCACACTAAAAAAGTTTTTGATACTTTTAGTGCGGCGTATACCTGGTCAGATGCTTTAACTGTCCCGATTAAAATTAAATAATTTTTGCAAGTGCGAAGTTCACATATTTCGTTTTATTTTCATATTCAAATTTAACAGCTACATTCGCAGATGACACAGCGATCTTGGCTGTTGCAGAAAATGAAGTAGTTGCAGCAAATAAGTTACAATTGGCCTTAAATTCAATAGAAAACTGGACCAATCGATGGCTAATAAAACTAAATACAAATAAATCGTCACACATAAATGACAACGCTGTTCCTTACGCCGACAGCGCAAAATATCTTGGTATGACGCTGGATGCCAAACTGAAATAGAAAGCTCACGTAAAAAAGAAAACGTAAGGAACTTGATATAAAATTTAGACACCTATATTGGCAGAAAATCAACTCTATCACTAAGTAACAAGTTGCTAATATACAAGCAAGTATTAAAACCAAAATGGACATACGGAATCCAACTGTGGGGTTGTACCTGCAAGACAAATGCAAGTCTGATTCAAAGATTCCAGAACAAAGTACTAAGGTGCATAGTGAATGCACCATGGTATATAAGAAACACTTGCTATATTGAAATTGCATCATTCGCATCTAAACATGAGATGAGAATGCACGATCATCCCAACATCGAGACCATCCAGCTTTTCGACAACGAGAATGTCCTGCGTCGCCTTCAGAGGATGCAGCCGTTCGATTTAGTGACCTAGTGCCCTAGTCGATACAAATGCGAGCAATAGTGCGGAATTATAACAAAAACAATAATACCCTAAACGTGTGTTCTGCATATCACAGTGTGCGCGTTTTTGTGTTTTGGTCTTAAAACGCTGAAAATATGATGGTAAGCAGACTGGACCATTGGGAAAAGCTGCAAAACATTATCTAGTTTAATTTGGTGTTAAAAATAAGTAACTAATTAGTATGTATTTACTAGGTACATATAATTGTGTATACAATTGTGTGTAACAAACCTCATTTTGGGATTCGAAAGCGATTAAAAAATAAAACGCAATACATTGTAGTAAACAGTAAGAACCATTGTAAAGACAGAACTTTGTAATTTAATTACGAAGTTGCGTCTTGAGAACCGAGGGTCCAGACTAAATACTACGTATTCGGTTCTGGCAGGAATGTGTCGAGGTGGCAGTTAGAGTAGATGGAGCAGGGAAGAAATGAAGAAAAAATCAGGGAGTCGGTTACGGGATTGGAACAGAAAAGCATCGGGCGAAACCGGGAAATTAAAGTTTTTGGTGTGTTTTAAATTCGAGACGTGCGATTTGAACTTATAACAATTTAGTTATAAAATTCGTTGTATGGGATTCTTTTTCTTCTTTGAATATTTTATTTTAACAAATGGGTGAGCGTTATTAAAATCTTATAACATCTGATTTCTCATTAAACCTGCTAACCACCTCAGCAAATTTCGTAATGAGAGTAAATGTATCAAAGCTAAATTGTTGAATAGATTACGTCGTATAATTTTTACTTTTTAAAATCTTTGTTCAATTGTTTTTTTATATAATATAATACGTTCTTTTTCAAAAATAAAGTAAATTTATTCTTTAGCAGTGAAATTTCGTTTTCTTTCAATCTATTTTTATTCTTAATTCCAAATTACTACCGTTCGCTTTCAAGTGATCGAATGCAGTGTGCCAAACCCTAACTTAGTCATTGCTAGCTATCAAGAAAAGGGTAGTGCGTGGACAGTTGGGTACGCGAGCCGCTCCGTGGACCTAGCTAGGAAACCCACTACGGGAAACGAGAAGTTCTCGAGAGCTAGTTTGTGACATATGCTGTGCATAATATAGAAAAAGAAATAATGAATGAAAAAAACCCTTTTGTCAATAATATTTTATTATGGCAACAATAAAGAAGTTATTGACGGTATACATCAGTATATTAACACACTGCACAGGAAAATTCAATTTACGTTAGAACTTGAAACCGACAATAAAATAAATTTTCTTGATTTTACAATAAACAAAATAAATCAAAATATCCAATTCGAAGTGTATAGAAAACCCACTCAAACTGACATTACGATCCCATACGACTCCTTCCACAATATAACTCACAAAATGGCAGCGTTCAAATTATATATCTATAGGGCCTTGAATACAAATTTAAGTAACGAAAAATTTAACAGAGAGATTGAAATAATAAAACATATCGCTAAAAATAATGCCTTTCCAAGGAGAATAATAGATAAACTTGTATACAAATATCAGAATAAACAAAACCTAATTAATAGCACCCAACTGAAAACTCAGCAGACACAGAAAACCAAAAACTACAGGTCCATTACGTACCAGGGAAATATGAATAACAAAATAAACCAAACTATGAAACAGTACGATATTCAAATTTCGGATAAACCCAACAAGACCATAGACAACCTACTCATAAATAACAAAGACAGAATAAACAAATTGGATGATAATGGGGTATACGAGTTGAAATGTGAAACTTGTCTTGCCACCTATATTAGGGAGATATGCAGAGCCCTCAGATTACGAATTAGAGAACATAAAATAAAGCACAACTCTAATTTTGGTAAACATAAATTTCAACCTCAACACATTAAAAAATTAGAAACAAATGAAGAAAAATGCTCAACATCGTCTATTTTTAAAATCTTTTGTGACATTTGACGCAAGTTTTGATTTGTTTAATATGTTAAATGTAATTCATTTTTTATCTCTGAAAATTCCAAATGAATAATGTAATGTGACTATCGTAAAAATAAAAAAAAAATAATTTAATTAATTTAAATTTGTAAAAATGTTTTATATCTATCCAGGTAATCTGATGATGGTACGAGTAATGTAGCGAAACCGGTAGAAAGAAATAACTAAAATATAATCCGTTTGAAGTGCAAAAGGTTGTTGGAAAGGTTATCCTTTCTTGTACCGCGTCTCAACGCACGCTGCCCCCTCACGTTCTATAATTGCCGTAGTAATAGTAACACTTTACGAAAATCTGTCTCGTTAATGTCCAATTACGGCAATCAGGTTTCGCCGCATTGCGATATGTTTTTTGATTCCTTGAACACGGTGGTTACGGTAACTTTGGATCATTTCGACATGCAGTTGATTGTTAGTAGTTATGGTTACTATTAGTTTATTAGGTTATATTAGTTTATATTTTTGCTTATAGCTATATCTTTTTCATTTAGTTAATTTAAATATTGTGATGTTATAATTTTTTTTTTCCTGTAACTGGGTGGTACCTGTGGGAAATAACGTCCTATTATTATTATTATTATTAAAATCGCTGTGTTTTTTTACATTGAATATAAAATGGAAAGAAAATCATTAACTAATATTGTTATTTTTTGTTTACAAAAACAATTGTATTAAAATATAAAAATAACAAATGAAGTTAATTTTTATTTTTTTTAATGGAACTGCTGTCACAGCACGCTACAGATTATTATTATTTTTCAATTATTAAAACTAATTTAAATTTTAAGAACACGGTCTTAAGAGGCCTACCTAGCTGGCGAAAAATTCGAAACGAGATTCCCTCGTGAACACGCTTAATGCGGCAACACCGCTCCACGTGTACTCGATCGGGCTGGCGCGCCAGGCCGATGACGACCAGGACTGTCCGATTGTCGGGTAATTCCCCGACAATCAGCGACGTTGATTTTATTCTTAGTTGAATGCATTTGAATACGAGTCGGGGCCGCTTTTTGGAACATAGCTGTTATTGCTAGTATTTCATTATTATCAATTGTTAGTTAAAATTATATATTTTCACGAAAAGGGATGTTGGTGGATGCCGATCTTATCAGATTCCTCATTATAAAATTGCACAGTATACCAAATTTTATCTGTATATGACAAATCATTGAAATTATTACAGATAATCTATACCTTAGCCATTTATTGATTTATACAGGGTGATTTATCAGCTCACCATCAAACTTTGACATATGATAGCTAATCCAATTACAAAAAAAAATGTTAATGAACATATGTCCTATTTTAATTAATTACGAAATTATAACACTTTAAAGTTTTCATTTTTATATCATAATTAACTGCTACATTATTTTTAAAACACATAAATATTACAAATATTGTTCAAAATAGACTCCTTCTGAAGAAGGAATACATGCTTCACAATGACGAATTAAAGAGTTCTTCAGCCGAATTAAAATGTCTGGTTGATTTCTTGTTCCAGTAGCAGCCATTTGTATTCTGTTTAATGACTGTTTTCGTGTGTTAATTTCCACTTGATACACAATTTGTATCATATGACCCAATAAGTAGAAATCCAATGGATTAAGGTCGGGGGATCTAGGTGGCCAAGCAAATGGACCATTACCAATCCACTTGTTTGGAAAATATTGATTTAACCACTCGACAACTATTCTTCCGCGATGAGGGGGGCATCATCGTGCTGGTACCACATATTTTGAATTACATACATTAAGAGGTATATCTTCAAGTAAATCAAAAAGTGTGTTGTTCAAAAAAATCTGTAGTTTACAGCGTTCAAACGTCCATCAAGTACATGCAAACCTAGTAAATTGTTGTTAAATAATCCACCCCAAACGTTGATGCTGAAACGTTGTTGAAATTTCCTTGGTCTAATCGCATGCAGATTTTGTAATGCCCAGATATGTTCATTATGGTAATTATTTATACCATCTCGTGTAAAACATGATTCATCTGTCCAGCGATCATTTGAAATGAAGTCATTATTTTGGGCATGTTACTACAATAACCATTCACAAAATGCTAACCGTTGCTGATTATCTCCTGGCTGTAGAGCTTGAACGTTCTGTTTACGATACGGATGAAGGACTTGTCGATTCAATACGCGCCATGCAAAATGTTGACTTACATGTATGTTGTGTGCTATTCTTCGAGTGCTGATGGAAGGATTATCAATGACAGCATTAATTACAGCTTCTTCGTCCGCTACATTAACTACATGCGGTCGAATAGGATTACCTGTTTCTCAAAGTCTTCTGAAAGAATCGCTAAAAACTGAATAATATGGCAAATGACGCTGTGGAAATCTTTCTTGATATTCTGATACTGATTGTCGACCGTTTCAATTGCAAAAAAAATACACGAAAATTATATCAGCATACTCTTCAGTGCTATAAGCGTACATTTTGAGTTTCTTCTTGTATGTAATAATTAAACCTTACACCAAACTGATATATTACAATGACAACTTTGTTTTTGTTGAATGTTTGATTTTACTGACTATTAATAAATTCGCTGCAGAAAACTTTAAAGTGTTATAATTTCGTAAATAATTGAAATAGGATATATGTTCATTAACATTTTTTTTTTGGTAATTGGATTAGCTATCATATGTCAAAGTTTGATGGTGAGCTAATAAATCAACCTGTATTTAAAGATTAAAAATGTTTAGACTAGCTGTCATAATTTTTGCTCTAGCAGTATATGTGGTTGAAATTATGCCACCACTTACAGAAACACCATATATTTTATATAGGGTGCCCATTATTTATGGAATATAGTATATATCTCGGTAAATGTTGACTTTATAAAAAAACATTTTATACAAAAGTTGTTTAATATTTTATTTGCCATAATAAGACAGCATTCAATTGTTTATATTTCAGAAAACAAATGAGCAATGAATAACACTTGAATTTTTTTAAATGGCAATGTACCCTTTCGTTAGGCTCATTTGATAGAGATTGTTTTTCTCTTTACGATGATGTAAAATTTTAGTACCCTTATATCAGAAAATGTTTGAAAAAATTTAAAAATTGTTATTAAGAAAATTTTTAGTTTTTTATGAGTTAATATATTTTTTTATTATTTATATTGTATTATTTATTTTAAAATATACCTTTGGTGCTTCTTTATATTTTTATTTTGTATTTATTTTAATAATTAATCTAATAGTAGATGATCAGATAATTGTGCAAATATTCTCATTATTAAAAATGTATTGCCACATTTAGACATTGTTTTGCATTCTACGTAAATTAAATGTTTAAATTTAAATTAATGATATACAAATTTTTTGATCTATCCGAAAATATTAATCGCTTCAGGTTTGTTTTTCTTGGGAGACACTACGCCGACGTCTCGGTTACTGAGAATACCGAGCTCCACTATGTCTCGGGCAATGTTTGGGACGGAGCAATATTTGCGATGTTGCCGTATTTATACTCCACAAGCAATCAAAACGGACTACACGTTTTAAACCCATTTTATTTAAATTTGCTGCATTTAATAAAAAAATTGAACTCTTTAAATATGATTTACTTTACATTCCACTACCTCGTGATGCATTCCGTTTTTAAAAATTTTTTAAAACGTGATTTTAGAAACGTTACGCGACATTTTTTGAAAAAACTAAATGCATCACTAAAAACTATATAAAAAAATAGAAATTTTGATATAACAAACATACAAAAATTTTAAACGATGGCTGAATAAAATGGTATTCGTTGTTTTTGCTAATAGGTTATCCTCTTAACGTTACAATATACCATATAATAGATGTGCCAATACTTTTGCGTAAAACTGTACGCATGTTGAGATAGGACACCGCTGAATCAGGTTCACGTAAATCAAGTGTTAACTGCATCATACTTAAAATGTAAAATTGTTTTTGTAATTAAATAGTGCTCAACAAATACATACAAAAGTAATAAAAATAAAATGTATCTAAAAATGTAAAATAATTTTATCGCGCCATCTATTAATAGGAAAGTAAACTATACGTGCCACCAGATGTCGTTTCTGTGACGCATTCTTTCGTTGACCTCGTATTACTTGGTATTAGTTGTACGTGACATCTGGATGATCTGGATGCCATTCGGTTTCCATTTTCCATTCAAAGAAAAGTTGATCTCGAAGAAGCTTCTTTTGTGGTGTTAACGGTTTTTTTCATAAACAGCGCTGTAGAAATCAACAATCGTCGATGTTGCGACAATTTTGCCGCTTGAAATAATGTTAGCAGAGACGTTTTCAGCACGTGATCTGTACTGCAATTTTATTTCAACCATTGACGACACAATTCGTTTTTTGGCAACACAATTCGTTTTTTGGCAACACGGCGACTTTTATCAAATTCGAAAGAATGTGATAATTGCCACATTACTATGTCGCTGACAAGGAGAGCATGCATCAGCGATGGAAAGCAGTGGACCTGCAAGGAATGCAGAAAAAACGTGTCAATACGAGCCGGCTCATTCTTTCAGAATAGCAAGCTGAAATTGACACAAATTTTGGACATTGTATATGGATGGGCGAGGGAGCACCCGCAGTATGAGGCGGCGCGTGACGCCAAATTGGGAGAAAGATCCACCCACACCATAGTGGATTGGTACAACTTTTGTCGGGACATAACTGAACAGCACCTTGTCGACAATCCTACCCAAGTAGGAGGATTCGATGAGAACACGCTGTTGTCCAAAACGGTGGAAATTGATGAATCGAAATTTTTCCATCGTAAATACCACCGTGGACAATGGCGTGAAGGCCACTGGGTTTTTGGGGGTATTGAACGGGGTAGTGGCAACTGCTTTCTGGTGGAGGTGCCAGATAGAACGGAGAATACCCTAACCCCAATTATTGAAAGGTACATATATACATATTATGTACAGAGTCAGCCAAACTAAACGCCCCATTGTTTTTATACAAAGAGGTAAAATAAAAAAATAATATTTAATGTAAAGGATTTGTTTTTGAAAAATTAAACAATTACGTATACACGGTGGAGCATTGAGTTTAGATGACCCTATATAAATTATATCGGGTAAGCCGTTCCCACTGGGAAATAGGTGGTTAACATAGGAAAACAATTTTTAGTTAATACTTGCTCCCCACATCATTTAATCCAAAATAAAGTTTACAGACTTAAATTTGAGTTGAATATGTGCTTATTTTAGATTATCATTAATTACTCCGATTAAATAAATTCATTCGATCTGATAAATTCGGATTTATCGTTAAGAATTTATCAAACGGGAGTATAAAATAAGCGTATATGCGACTTAAATGTAATTGTGTAAACTTTATTTTGGATTTAATGAAGTGTGGAGCAAGTATTAACTAAAAATTGTTTTCCCAAATTAACCGCCTATTTTCCAGTGGAAAACGAATACTTGAAAATTAAATGAATATGTTTTTTTTAGATATGTGCTCCCAGGTACAATTATTATTTCCGACGGGTGGAGGGCGTACAGAAATATTAACCAAATAGGAGGTGGTATTTATGAACATGAGGTAATAACTCATGAAGAAAATTTCGTGAATCCTGACGATCCCACTATTCACACGCAGAATGTTGAAAATATGTGGATGAGGGCGAAGAGGAAACTGAAGCGCCAATGTGGTACATCAGAAGCCCTCTTTACCTCTTACCTACATGAATTTATTTGGCGCAATAAATTCAAGAGTCGGGATATTTTTTCAGCGTTGCTCGTGTGTGTTAGGGAGCAGTACCCAGTATGGTAAATATCATATTTATTATTCAATTTTCTATTTCCTATCATTTTTGTTTCATTTTGCAGATAAACTATAGTAAAAAGACTAGTGCATAGTGGAATGCAGATATATTCAACACGAAAAAACATTTTCTTTAATTTTTAAACAATAAAAAACAAATGTTTTGCAGTGGCAACTCGTCAGAGGAGGTATTTATCATTTTGAAGTACTCTTTCTTAACTTTAATTTATAGTTATATACTTTATAGTTATAGTACGTGAAAATTTTTTTTTAATATTTAATTTATCCTCCGCTTTTGAAAGCCCCGCGAGCCGCCGCTGATTTAAAAGTTAAAATTTAAGAAAAACATATATTTTTCAATTCCGCTTCATAATTATGCCATCTAGTGGCCACAAGCTCAACTAATGGTAGAGCGATGTCTATTTTGTGCGGACACACACACACACAGACACAACCGCTGAGTTCCCCACCCCATGTCAGTTTCATTTCATCACCCTATAATGCAGGATAACCTAGAAATGTCCAAATATTGCACATGTCTCTTGTAACGTTTACCTCAAAACTTCCGTCAATTGTCATCGAATAAAAACAAAAAACATACAAATTTTCAATTCTGCATTGCGAAGATGATTATGAACTAGATATATATGGATTAGGTAAGAATTTTTATAAAAAAATATATAATGAACAGAAACTTATTTTATAATTGTAAATGTATTCTTGAAATTGGCATTTACTTACTAAATTGATTATATTACTTACTTTGTTTTATCAGTTTGTTTTTGTAATTTTTTCTGGCTGCTACTTTGCGCTTAATTCTGTTTGCATCCAAAATAAATAAATTCAATTCCAGGGGCAGTCATTTCTCCAATAAGATGGCGCGACACCACCACCTTCCTGTTCGAGTTTATTTAAACCAATTATTTCCCAATGGATGAATTGGCAGAAGAAGCCCAGTTGACTGGACAGCAATATCATCAAATTTGACTCTGCCGGAATTCTTCCTTTAAGTTTACACAACTGGACCAAATACTTGTGATAAACAAAAAATCAGAATCTGAGAAGAAGTTTAGTGAATAATTCTTGATGCCTTAGGGAATTGTTAAGAAGATATTAAAAATCGTTTAGGAGCTGCCCAAGGTATATTATTTGAACATTTAGCTTAATTTTAATTTTTTATTCACCCATTTTAATAAAATTTTAATGATATTGCATAATCCCTAATACTACTTTATCTGGCAGTTTCAGTGATATCAAGACTACGTCACATTTCCTCAGCTTGAATTGTTCTTAATATATTCATAAATTATGTTCTTTTAAATCTATCATTCTGACAGATAAAAAATACATTGAGGACATTTACTTCTGAGTAGTTACAATAATACATTTCAATTTAAAATGTAAGATATATTTTTATCTAATATTTTTTTTTTGTATTTTAGGTGATCGGATTTACCGATTTGTGTCAGTTGTTCACCAGTTAACTGTGCACTGAAATTACAAACACCTTTAAGAAATTTATTTTGAACAGCAATGTAGTGACACCGACTATGGTTTTCATATAGTCTAACTTTTGAAGACAATTTCTCAGTTTAACAGGTAATAGTTTAATTATGCTTGTCTTGTTATTTTATGTACTTTTGTTATTATTCCTGTTAGCGTTGTCCTTTTTTGTTTATTTTTTGTTGATTTTTAATTTATTTGTTTTTGGATTCTTTTATTAAATCAACTAAAACAAATTAAAAATGGATTTAGCTAAATCTACACTTGGAAATTTTGCATAAATAATAGTTATGATGGCTCAGTTCGATTTTCACTTGTCATTTTCAATTCAGATAATTTATTTTATTTTTTTTTTGTCTTATTAAATTCAGAGCATAATATTTTCGCATTTAACCCATTGACGCCTGGGTAGTTTTTTTTTTGTTTTATCTTGTTTTTTTTTTCTTTCAGAATATTACTTAATTAGTCAGACAGTTATTTTATTTCAAAGTATGTTTTTTTTCAAGTATTATATATATCATATGCTGGGCACCAGCAAGGTTTATATATTAAAGGTTGTCTAAGTTCCTATGCTGCAATACTTTGATTTTAGTTTGTGGGCGAGGGGCAAGAGCAGGAGTGTTTCGTGACGTAAGCGATCACGGACTGCGCACGCAACCTCATGGCCATGTGGTGCTCCATGCATTTGTTTAATTTGAATTGCTTGGCGGTATTATTTTCCACATGTGACATAATGCGCAGTGTGGTTGCGTACGAACCTAGACAACCTTTTATATATAAACCTTGGGGCACCAGTGGTTTTGGTGCACCAGGTAGTGTCAACCTTACCTGAGTAAACAAAACAACTGCAAGATAAAAAATCTAGAGAAAATATGTAAAAATGTGTTGTTATTTTGGTGTATATTTGAAGTATAATATATTTTAATGCAAATCATACAAGGTAATATATGTATATTATTTTATATGGTAAAGTCTGAAACAATTATCAGGGTGCAAAGCAATGTTACATTTGATGCAAATGTATTTTGCACATTTTCCACAACTTTCGCATCTACGTTGTGTTGCTATTTTATCAACTATATGATTCGTTGTGTCGTATCGCACTTCGTTAAGAACAACTTTAGAAGATTTAGGCTTCGGACCAGCTACATAATCTGGAGCTGTTAGAGTTGCTAGTACTATTCTTCTTATAAAGTCGAGCATCTTTGTTTTAGGATTTGCGAATCGGTATAGTAACCACATATTTACAATAGCAAAGCTATTTAGGCAAAATCGTACGTATGGCCAATACCATTTCATAGATCTTATTCTGATTCTATAAAGACCTCGTTGCTTGTCGAATAAATCAACCCCGCCCATTCCTTGGTTATACAGACTTATCAGTGTTGGTTGATCGACTGTAATAATTGACTTTTCTTTTTTCGACCATCGCTTACAACTGCCCTTTGAAAAACATAAATCAAAATCCAGAACATTTGTCGCCAAGGTCACTTGATTATTAACATTCCAACGTATTAGTGATACTCCATTGGCTATATCCGTTAAACCATGTATTGATCCTCTACTCTCTTTCTTCAAATCCTTCAGTGGAGCTTTTCTATTCTATCTGACCTTATTGTACCAATGCAATTTATGTTGTATGATTGAAATGTATGCTGCAACATCAGCGAGTTGAATAAATGTACAAATATTGCTACAAAAATATAATGAGTGCTTTGTTTAGGTATATGGTCTAAGCAGAGCTTTTCGCATACACTAGAGCCCAAAGTCTTTCCTTGAATTTTATCACCAGCTCCACAATACGGACTAAATTTTAGTAGATAACCTTCAGATCTCGTTAGACACCAAATTTTAAAATCATATCTTATAGGCTTTCCTTTTATAAATTGCTTCATGCCCATAGTACGGTTCCATTGCTTCATCTATAGAAAATGATGTACCTAGTCGCTCGAACATTTTCTGTGACTGGTTATTTACGTGATCCAGTAGTGGCTGAATTTTGTAAAGTTTGTTGCCAGGATCAATATTGGAATTGTCATTGAAGTGCAGGTATTTGTGAAGAAGCTCAAATCTATTACATGAAATGCTATTACTCACCAAACTGTTGTAAGTGTCTGCCTTAGTTTCCCAATACAGTCTATGATTAGGAACTTTGCTATAACCTGACAAAAGAAGAATAGCAAAATATTTATATAGCACATCTGTCGTGACGCGAAAGTCGTGGACACCTTTGAAAGTTGCATATTTCTCCATTTCATTGCACACAAATGTCATAAATTCTTCATTATAGAATAATCTCAAAATATCGATAGGCTCTAGATTTTCATCCTTTATTTTCTGTACAAAATTAGGTGCTGGTGTTGCAGAAATTTTAACTTTATCTGAATTCCTTACGAAGTTTCTTGTTTCTCATTTTCGCGTTTTTATATTATTCCTAATTTCTTTATCTCTCAATTCTTTCTTGAAGAGCATAGCTAAAGGGATATTCATATCGTCATCATCATTAGATGTAATTTTCTGATGTCTTGTGCAGTAGCACTTCTTCCTTCTCATTGTCATGATTTGTACCAAAAATTTCCATGGGGCCTCTTAGAACACCTTTGTCAATTGTTCTAACGGAAGCTTCATTTTGTTCATCACTTGATGCATCATCTATATCTGTATCTGCTCTGTCTTTAGGTGGAAACAGAACTAGTACTATTATTAATTTTACCTAAATTTGTACTACCATTTACTTGTAAATAGTACTCGTCATCAGAACTAAGTTCTTCGAAAAAGTTGAGTAATTGTTCAGAATCACGGGGATCCGATGCGTTGTAAAATTTTTTTCTGCGATAAAACAAAAACAACTCAACAACGTCCACCGTATAATATATCATATGTTATGTATTTATTGAAAAAAACGAGATAAAAGTATTGAAAACCGGGAAATCAACAATTGATAGTAATATTGGTAGTGTATAGACAAGGTATTGTTGATCAAAAATATTTTAAAATGAATCGAACCAAATAATAAATATCAATAAACTTACCTCAACGGCATTTTCACTTTTCACAATAACACCGACTAGTTCTAAGTGACAAAGAACTGGTTTTTAGTTCAAATAAACAATATACTAACTATATTTTGATAGAATATACTTATAAATATATTTCTAACTAAAATCACATAAGTTTACTTGCTTATCCACATTTCACTTAACCTCAAATGTGCATATGTAAAACTGATGATAAATCAGATGCTGGGCGTCAATGGGGTGGTTTTTCTCAATATTCTCTAAGAGTGCTAGAAGTTTCTAAACCAAATTGAAAAAACTGCAAAAATAAATTATTCTATCATAACCCTATGATAGAATAAAAAAGGTTTCCGCGGACCGATCCAACTCAAAAATTGCCTAATGATTTTACTTGATATTAGTTTACACCGTACCAAATTTCAACGCTTTATCATAAATAGTGTTTAAGATATTTAGAAAAATGTGTTAAAATTTCCTAACTTTGCTGGCCTGTATCTTTGCAATTTGAGGACTTTTACTAATTTTAATAGTTATCATTTTCACTCTTGTATATGTGGATACATTTGTTCCCTGAGTCACCGAAACACCCTGTATAAATCAGGGTAATAATGTTTTTTTATTTATTATTTTTATGCAATTGTTTTATGTAAATGATTGTTAACTGCAACTTATTGCCGACTTTTTCATATTAAAAATGAAATTCAACAGTTTCTGAAGATAATGTAATGTAGATATTTTTTTATAAGTTACGCTGCATCAAGTTACGCTTCTCATGGCAGTCAACGTGTTAAACTTTCATTTACTTCTTTTTCGCCTCTAGCTTAGATTTGCTATATTCGACAAGGAATCCCTTTATCTCACTTTACACTTTTTGTTATCTCATCCATATAGGTTATGACTTGAGTTGGAGTCGATCCTCCACCTTGTATAAGACCTTCTTTTGTCATGAATTCTTTTGATTTTAAGTTTTTATAGGTCACTGTATTAACATTGCTCTTATACAGGCTGATTCTCAACCTATACGCATAAACTTGGGGATTTATTTCTTATGATAAATAATGATTAATAGATGGAACAGATTGTAGTAAAAGTTTTATAATATCTTATATAATCGGCAACATCTAGATAATGTGTTTTCTGGAAGATGGATAGGACGAGGTGGTCCAATGACTTGGTCATCGCGATCTCCCGACCTCAATCCTCTTGATTTTTATTTTAACTTAATAATAATAATAAATCCTTTATTTTCAACCATACAATACAGTACAATGCGATCAAGAAAGCCGGTCCGCTAAAAACTACTTTCCCAAGCGCTTGATACCAATACTTACTGCCCTCGTCACAGCGGTCACACCCTCCTTCCACTTGATTTAATAGTGGTGGGGAAATGGGAGGAAACTTTTAGTTTAGTAAACATAACCTTAAAAACTGACACGCACAAAATTAAAAATGTTACTCTCGTTAAAGAAAATTCGAAATAAATTCTCTCTGGAGTTAGATTGGTGGATGTAAATTTAAATTATGATGAAAATAATTAAAAAGGATTAATTAATAAAAAGAAAACCCTTTAAACTATTCTTTTGTAATTAATTTATTTCATAAATCAAAAAAAGATCTTTTATTTTATTATAAAAATAAAGGTTTAGAAGTTTTATTTATTATAAAACGAATTCAAAATGTTGACCATTCTTTTCTAAACATAAAGTGATTCTTCTTTTCATATTATCGAAGACCTGTACAAGTTGCTCTGCAGTTATTTGTTGAACATTGTGTCGTATTGCATCTTCCAATTCTTCTATGGTCTGTAAACGGTTTTTGTAGACAGAATTTTTGAAATGACCGAATAAAAAGAAATTTAGTGGGGTTAGATCGGGTGAGTGAGGTGGCCAACATCCTCTACCGATTACTCAATCATCATAAAATTCATGAAGGAATCTTTTGTTTGTTCGTGCAGTTGCATTGTCATGTTGAAAAAATCCTTCTTCCAATTCATCATCATGTAATTATTCAATGAATTCTTGTAACAAAGCACTTTGACAACTTTCCTAATGTCATGACATAAGGTAATTCACTACATTT